ATTGTAAATTTAAATAATTTCCGTGGTTTGAATTCGCGTATTATGATCTTGCCCAAGAAGGGGGGGGGTCTTTTAACTATAGTAATAAGCGTGCCTGGCTTATTACTTATGGCAACCTTTGTGCAGACATTTTGCATTCATTGTCAAGTGTGCATTTAAACTCCGAAAGAGAAAGGGAGAGGTGTGTTTATGGAAGGGACTAGAAACTCTGTTTTTCACTTTTGCGGCGCATTACAAATGTTCGGCCTTGAAACCTCGTCTCTCTGCACCTCTCTTGAATTTCTCTTCAACGCTCCGCCTTTGATTTCAGCCACTTTAAAAAAAAAAATAATGGAGTGAGATGAATAAGAGCTGCGGTTAATAAGGCAACCTGACTATTTGATAGCCTAAAATTCTTTCTGTTTTTTTTTTTTCTTTCTTTCCTTTTTTTTTAAGGACAGGGACAGAGACTGGGGGATTTAGAGGAGGGGGCCTGCAGCTGCAATTCAGATTCTGCCATGAAGCTGTCCGTCTCATTAGCCACCTACTCCCGTCTCCCCCACCCCCCCACACACATTTACATTTCAGATTACATTTTTCTCCTAAATCAGGAATGCTTCATCCAAACGGAGAAGGTTAAAATAATGAGAAACGTTTTCATAAAAAGAGGCGATTTTTTTTCTCCCCCCCCCAAAGCCCAGCTTGGAAAAAGAAAGGATTTCCTTCTATGGAGAGAAAGAGAGAGAGAGAGAGAGAGAGAGAGAGAGAGAGAGAGAGAGAGAGGGAGAGAAAGATAATTTATTCCTCCCTTAAATGAGAAGCAAAACAGAAGGAGAAAAAAAAGATGAAATTGATCAACTTTCATTGCTCATTTATCTCCAGCAGACAATTAAGAGCCGAGATCAAAACCGGAGGCCCCCCCCCCCCCGTCAAGAAAGACACCTCTAGTTATTTCTAACCCCCTTTTTTTCATCCGTCCTGTCTTTTTTCTTAACTCGCTTCCACGCTAGCTTTGTGGCTTAAGGAGAGCCAAGAGGCTACCAATCATTATCCAGCCACAGATGTCTGTCTAACCTTCCTTTTTTTTTTTTCTCGAGGTTTTTTTATATATATATAAAGCACAATAATTTGCGACAGATTCTTATAGGGCCAGATACAAAGGACGTCCAGAATGAAACGCCCGGCGTCTGCCCGGAACCCTGATCAGAAGAACAGACGACATGCGAAACACGCTGGATGTCAAAACAACCCGGCGAGAATTTAGGCTTGGGGAATGGAAGGGAATGGGGAGGGGGGCTTAGGAGCTAATGAGCGAGGGGTCTTGGGTGGACTTCATCCTCCGTATTCCTTGGGGAGGGGAGCCTCTCTTGGGATGGGGCAGGGACCCCGATCTTGGACATTTTGCAGAGATTGTCAAGTAGAATAGAATAGAATAGAATAGAATAGAATAGAATAGAATAGAATAGAATAGAATAGAATAGAATAGAATAGAATAGAATAGAAATAAGGAATAGAATAGAATAGAATAGAATAGAATAGAATAGAATAGAATAGAATAGAATAGAATAGAATAGAATAGGAATAGAATAGAATAGAATAGAATAGAATGAATAAATGAATAATGGAATGGAATGGAATGGAATGAATGAATGGAATAGATAGGAATAGAAGAATAGATAGAATAGAATATAGAATAGGAAGAATAGAATAGAATAGAATAGAATAGAATAGAATAGAATAGAATAGAATAGAATAGAATAGAATAGAATAGAAAAGAAATAAGGAATAGAATAGAATAGAATAGAATAGAATAGAATAGAATAGAGTAGAATAGAATAGAATAGGAATAGAATAGAATTAAGGAATAGAATAGAATAGAATAGAATAAGGAATAGAATAGAATAGAATAGAAATAAGGAATAGAATAGAATAGAATAGAATAGAATAGAATAGAATAGAATAGAATAGAATAGAGGAATAGAATAGAATAGAATAGAATAGAATAGAATAGAATAGAATAGAATAGAATAGAATAGAATAGAATAGAATAAGGAATAGAATAGAATAGAATAGAATAGAATAGAATAGAATAGAATAGAATAGAATAGAATAGAATAGAATAGAATAGAATAGAATAGAATAGAATAGAATAGAACAGAATAGAATAGAATAGAATAGAATTAAGGAATAGAATAGAATAGAATAGAATGGAATGGAATAGAATAGAATAGAGTAGAGTAGAGTAGAGTAGAGTAGAATAGAATAGAACAGAACAGAACAGAATGATTATCCCAAAAGCTAAATTCTTAGCCTTTCCTGCTCCAGTGGTTCTCATCCTGAAATCTCACTTTTTAACCCAAAGGAACAAGCCTGGATTCGTGGCCACTTGGTGAGGCTGGAAAAACAAACTCCCACACAGCTTCCATCCTTATATCCTCACATGACTTTGAACAAAGTTAAAATTAATTTACTGGGAGGGAAAGCTTCTTTTGCCCTCCTCCCTGATGTTTCAGACAAGGCCTGTACGTGAGAAAGGTGTGGGGGGAGGCACCACGCAGGGTTGGGGTTTCCAACAGGGCCTTTTAAAGTAAAATCAATTTTAAAAGCTCCCTCTGCTTCCAAGATCCAGAAAACTAACCTTGACGGTTGAAATCTACTAGCCTGCTTACGCCGCCCACCCCTTTTGTCTGTTCCTGCTTTTAAAGTAGGCTTTGCATCCTTACAGCCCTGGAGGGGAGGAAGACCCCGACAACTGGCCACGTGTAGAAGTTCGAGAAAACAATTTCTCCAGCCCCCCTAAATTTTAATCTGGGAATAAATATACAAAAAAGTAAAATAAAATAGCGTGTGACATCTCCTATTCCATCTTTGGCCCCCGCAGGCTGTTTGTTGAAGTTTGCAACGGGATAAAATGTCTCTCTTTCGGGTGTGCGTGTGGTTTTGCACAAGGGAAACTATTTCACGGGGGAGCTAGGCTTATAATTCATCGATTAGGGCCAGAGGAGAGCAACAAAGATGATCAGGGGACTGGAGGCTAAAGCATCTAAGGAAAGGCTGCTGGAACTGAAGAGAAGGACGAGGGGGGACAGGATAGCAACCTTCCAGTATCTCAGGGGCTGCCACAAAGAAGAGGGAGTCAAGCTATTCTGCAAAGCACCCGAAGGCAGGACAAGAAGCAACGGGTGGAAACTAATCAAGGAGAGAAGCAACCTGGAACTAAGGAGAAACTTCCTGACAGTTAGAACAATGAACCTGCCTCCAGAAGCTGTGAATGCTCCAACACTGGAAGTTTTGAAGAAGAGACTGGACAGCCATTTGTCTGAAATGGGATAGGGTTTCCTGTCTGAGCAGGGGGTTGGACTAGATCAGTGGTTCTCAACCTGTGGGTCAGGACCCCATTTGGGGTCGAATGACCATTTCACGGGGGTCGCCAAACAATGCAGTCCGCCATTTTTCCCCCCTTTTCCTTAGCTGTGCTACTCCCTTTTATTCTATTGGCTTTTGAAAGCCAATAGAATAGACTCTCTTGAATAGAGTCTAATTCTATTGGCTTTCAAAAGCCAATAGGAATGGTCCAGGCTGTCTCTGCCCTGCTGAGCCCGCCAAAAGTCCCATTCTGCAAACGGTGCTGCACCAGTTGAGTAGTCCTCGACTTACGACCGGTTGGGGGTCACGGCATTAAAAAGGATGAGAACCACTGGACTAGATGACCTCCAAGGTCCCTTCCAACATCATTATTATTATTATTATTATTATTATTATTATTATTATTACTACTACTACTACTACTACTACTACTACTACTACCGACAGCCCCAGCTCGGCGGGACCTTTAATCCAGCTGCGCTTCACAGGAGAGGCTCCCGGCTCTTTCTGGCACACGCTGTCCCAACACCCGTGGAGTGCACTCGGGGACCTATTTATTAACAATTATTGGACCTGGTGTGTGTGTTGGTAGCTCGGCCCCAACTCCCCCACCAGAAGCAGCTGGAAGGGGCTATCCTAAGCCTCGCCAAAACAAAACTGCTTTCTTTTTTTTTTTTTAAATAATAATATGAATAGTATAGTAGAGGGGGTACCAGGCCTTGCCCAGAATGTGCCCCGAGAGTCGTGCCGCCGGGAAAATTGCCAAAAGGAAAGGAGATCCCTTCTGCCAAAGAGAAAAAGCCCCTAAAGGGACCAGGACCAACATCGTGGAGAAAAGCCTAATGAAGACTTGGCAACGGCGACGTCTTTCCCGTTTGGTATCCGTGGCGAGGAGAGAGCTTTTTCCAAACAGCTAACAATTACGCGAATTTGCCCGAGAGATCAAGTGTTTGCTAGTTGCCATGGCCAAGCAAAGAAACCTCATTCCCCCCCCCCCAGGTAATGCTTGCCTCCCTAGAGAAATGGAGCAAGCGAGCGAGCGAATGGGGCTCAGCCCACAAACAGTGTGAAAATACACCCCCCTTTCCTCCCCCCCTCCTGAACCGCTCCATAATGAGGGAGCCACCGAGGGAAATAGCTTTGAGGTATTGCAAGCATCCCGCGGACATGCTGAGCGAGGCGCAGTTGCTTTTCCACCTCTTCCTGCAGGCACTAATTGTACAATTCCCACGGCATTTTGCACGCTCAAGCGCCCCCTTCTCCCCTCCTCCTTTCTACTTTTGGGGAGGGGGCGGTGGAAAAAAAGGAGGGAGCCAGCCCCCCCACCCCGCCTCCACAAGACTCAGCACCACCAGTGACGCCAAACACACACCGAGGTGAAAGTCTGCCCACCTGGTAAATTACCTTACATCACGAAAGTCTCCTTTAAGACTCTTCAACTTTCTTCTCCGCGCTTCCTATCCATACGCGGGGGTGGACTGAGTGTCTTGTAAAAAAAAAATCACTTTCTTTTGCTCAGATTTTTTTTTGGGGTGGGGGGGCAAGTAGGAGGAGGAGAGGGGGGAGAACAACTCTAAGAGGTCAAACACCCCCCCTCACACACACACACACAAGATGAATTTTGTCGTGTAAAAAATTAATTACGCATGCCCAACCTGGTCACTGTAGTCCTCTGGGAATCGCCTCCGCACCTCAGGATCTGTAAATAATTGACAGATAATATTAATTGGCTTTGAATTGGACGGCAAGCAGAGAATCGCACATTAATATTTGATCAGAGGCTGATAGCAGCCCTGGAAGGAGGAAGAGGTGGAGAGCAGGAAGACGGGACTTTGCAAGCTTCCCTTTTACTCTCCCTTCTCCAAGACCAAGACGGGGGTTAAGGGCAGGGCCGCCACGCTTAAAGAGGGGATGAATGAATGCAAAAAAGCCGAGACCAGCTTTGTGTTTCCTAAGCGAACAGGGCTTCAATTGTGCTTCAATTTGTTCAGAAAAAAAAAAAAACCAGTGGTTTCTTTGGGTGAATGACAGGAGCGGACTTTATAATCAGAAGGGGGGGTGGATTGACTGAACAATGGCATGCACAGGGAGGGGGGGATTTACAGCTCTGTAAAAGAAACTGGGCTACGTTAAAAGGCTGCTTTATAAAAAAAGGCCGGATGGGGAAGACATAGAAAGAGAGAGAAGAGGGAGGGAAGAGAGAAAGCGTGGAGAGAATGAGAGAAAAGAGAGAGAGAGAGAAAGGGAAAGAGAATGAGAGAAGAGAGAGAGAGAGAGAGAGAATGAGAGAGAAAGGGAAAGAGAATGAGAGAAAAGAGAGAGAAAGAGAATGAGAGAAGAGAGAGAGAGAAAGAGAGAGAATAAGAGAAACAAAGAGAGAATGAGAGAAAAGAAAGAGGAAGAGGAAAGAGACAGGAAGAGAGCGAGAGAAAAGAGAGAGGAAGAGAGAACAAGAGAGTGACAGAAAGAGGGAAGAGAGAATGAGGAGAGAAAAAAACGAGAGAAAAGAAAGAGATAAGCAGTATAAAAGAAAAGAGAGAGGGAATAAGAAAAAACAGACACTAAGAGAAAGAGAGTAAAAGAGAAAGAACGAGAGGAGAGGAAGAGAAAATGAGAGAAAGATAAAACAGAGAATGAGAATAGAGAACGAGAGAAAAGAATGAGAAAAACAGACACAAACACACACACACACACACAGAGAGAGAGAGAGAGAGAGAGAATGAAAGAAAAGACAGAGTGCGCAAAAATCTATCAATAAAGAACGAACTAAAGTTACTTTGAACCTCGTGAGCAACAGGAAATGCAAGTTTTAAGCCTGTTTTCGCCCTTCGTTCTTTCATCCCTCTTTCTCAGGATAAACAACGTGCCTAACGCCACAAGCAGCATTTTTGAGCCGGTTTAATTGTATTAAACAGAACAGAAGCAGCAAAAAAAGAAAAAAGAAGAAACAACCCCCAAACGCAGACAGAAATAATTCTTATGACAAATCATCTCCAAACAACCCTGTCACGACCATCTGCTTTCCTGAAGCAAATCCTTAAGATTGCCAGGTTCCGTATTACGAGTGTAATTTTTTAATTACAGTAATAATAGGTTAAAAAAAAAACAAAAACTGGATCTCTTGCATTTGGAAGGGAAATTGTCATTTGTAGAAGGAACTGGCTGTCAGAGCAACATTTGGGCGCACGATTGTGAACATCCTGCGCCCGCTAGCTTTCCTGGACAAGAGGCATTTGTTAAACAGATGCTTTCACTTTTGCAAAATAAAAAAAAATAAAAAAACTGAATTTAAAAATTGTTGCTGCAAGTTTTGATCGTTACGCGAGAATCTTGTAAATAATCTTCACTGCTCAATTATTGTTCTCTCCCTGAAGCAAAGCAGACGCGGCAATGAATCATTTTATGATGCGTATATAATATATTCTGTATTAAAAAGGAAGTCCCGCCCTCATTCTCTCATAGGCTGATTAAATTGGTTCAGGGGCAAGTCCCAGTTTTTTTTAACCAGAGGGAGAATTCCCACTCCGGATGTCAACAGTGAACTCAAAGTGTACGATGTGTGTTTAAGAAAAAGCAAAGCCACGGAATCTGCAATCAAATTTTCCATGAGGACAGCAGGCTATTAGCCGTTCATTTGGCCAGGAGGGAGATCGCTTAAAAGGGTCAGGGGAGAGCGAGAATATTGCAGATCCTTGAGGAAGAGAAAAGAACAGCAAAAAAAAAAGAGAAATTTGAAAGGATGGGATGGGATGGATGGATGGATGGATGGAGGGTGAGTGGAAGGATGGATGGATGGATGGATGGATGGATGGATGAGTAGTGGATTAATGGATTCTTGGATGGATGGATGGATGAATGGTGGATTAATAGATTCTTGGATGGATTGATGGATGGATGGATGCTTGATGGATGGATGAAAGGGTGGATGAGTGGTGGATTAATGGATTCTTGGATGGATGGACAGATGGATGGATGGATGTTTGGAAGGAAGGAAGGAAGGAAGGAAGGAAGGAAGGAAGGAAGGAAGGAAGGAAGGAAGGAAGGAAGGAAGGACAGATGGATGGGGAGGTGGATGGAAGGATGGATAGAAGGATGATGTTTGGATGGATGGATTAGCTGATTTGATTTGCCAATTTTTGATCTACACAAGACCAAATGTTCAAAGCCACCAACGGACCCATCCTGTATGTTTCACCTTCTCAAGGAGAAATTTCCTGACAGTGAGAACAATGAATCAGTGGAACAACCTGCCTCCAGAAGTTGGGAATGCTCCAACACTGGAAGCTTTTAAGAAGAAACTGGACATCCACTTGTCTGAAATGGTATAGGGTTTCCTACCTGAGCAGGGGGGGTGGACCAGATGACCTCCAAGGTCCCTCCCAGCTCTATTATTCTATTCTATCTTCTCAAAAGTAAGCCCTTTTGAATCCATGCAGACTTACTTCCATGCGAAAGCAGAAAGGATTAATCCCCAATTCTCTTCCTGGGAGCGATAAACCCATGGGTACTTGAGTTCCCACCAATGAAAAACCTTGAATAACTCAGAAATGGCTTTTCGCAGATTCTAGCAGATCTTAGAAGCCAAAATAACCCGGGGCTCCGATTCTGATGACATGCTACAAAAAACGTTTGCTTCCAGCTTCTTCTTCAGAAATAATGGATGCTGCTCTGATGGGTTGTTTGTTTTGGTGACACCACTGTGGAAGCTGAGGGAGAAAGTTCACCGTACAACGTAACCCAGGGGTCTTCAAACTTGTGCCTGGCTGAGGAATTCTGGGAGTTGAAGTCCACAAGTCATCAAAGGGCCAAGTTTGAAGACCCCCGACGTAACCCATAGAGACCAGGAAGACACAGCACGGGTTCTAACTAACAACCAGCAAAGAAAGAGTGGCTTTTCATAACAGCAAAAAACAGCAGAGGGACTCTGGACTGTGTGTGGCAGCTGGGGGGGAGGGGTTTGGGGGAGTTATTATTTTATTATTATTTTATTATTTTTATTTCTTCAACATTGTATTTTTCTTTTCTGTAAGCTGCCTAGAGTCGCCGTGAGCAAATAGGCAGCTATATAAATTTGGATAGATAGATAGATAGATAGATAGATAGATAGATAGATAGATAGATAGATAGATAGACAGATAGATATAGATATTAGGTGATAGATAGATAGATATAGATAGATAGATAGATAGATAGATAGATAGATAGATAGAGAGAGAGAGAGAGAGAGAGAGAGAGAGATGATAGATAGATAGATGATAGATAGATATAGATATAGATATACATATAGATATAGATAGATAGAGATAGATAGAGAGAGATGATAGATAGATAGATAGATAGATATAGATACAGATATAGATGATAGATAGATAGATATACATAGATAGAGAGAGATGATAGATAGATAGATAGATAGATAGATAGATAGATAGATAGATAGATAGATAGATAAATGATAGAGCTAGATGATATAGATGATAGATAGATGCAGTGCTTTTTTTGTAAAAAAAAAAAAAAAGGGAGCTCACACACATCATACAACCCGCCTTGCCTACCCTACAAGGTTCCATCCAAAAAAGATGCCAGAACTCAGTTCTGGGCATTTTATGAGGAAAAAAAGCCCTGGATATATGATAGATAGATAATAATATAGATATAGATGATAGATATAGATGATAGATAGATATAGATGATAAATATAATAGATAGCTGACAGATAGAAATAGATAATATTAGATGGATGATATAGATAAGACAATGATCAATAATAATAATAATAATAATAATATTTTGCAAAATATTTCAAAAAACTGCAGCTTCCTGCAATAACTCCAGCAATGCTACAAAAAAACCTGCGCTACTCGGTACACCTTACATTTTAAGGAGGTACCTGGTTGACACCAGGTAGGATGCTGGCAGCAACCATGTCAACCATCAGCGCCAGCCAATTTGAATGTTCAGTTGACAGTCCTCCTCCTCCTCCTCCTCCTCCTCCTCCTCCTCCTCCTCCTCCTCCTCCTCTTTGCAAACCCTATTCCCTTCCAGCACTGATGATGTTCCCTAGTTGGGTCATGAAACGTCTGCAAGAAAACAAGCACGCTCAGAGAGCACCAAGGACCCTTCATGTCAACCCTGGGCTACAAACACTCTTCTTTATTGGCAAACAAACTTGTTGCAAATTGCTACCCTACGAGAGCATGCAGGTGACCCTCTGTTGCACAATCCTTGCCCTTGTTGCTTTCTCCCTGAGCAAACTTTTCCAAAAGAGATACACCAGACCGAATGCAATATCTTTTTTTGGGGGGGGGGCTACGCCGCTTTCCCATATATTCGGGAAATTCGTGAATTTCTGAGCAGAGAACAACAGATGGCTGCGCACTCTGTGCATTCTTTGCATCCCGCCTGCTATACTGCTCCTAAAAAATAAATTAAAAAAAAGATAACTCTGGCAAGAATTTTGTTTCCCCTCCCCCCGTACCTTAAAAAAAAAAAAATGAAAGTCTTCCTCTTCCGAGAAACTGAGTCTTGTTGCTAATTCCCTGGCATTTTCTCCCCCTCCAATGGCTGCACACAATGGGAGGACTCACATACACACACACACACCCAAAAAAATCTAGGTGACATTTTCTGGCAAATTCACACACACTGGAAATCCTGCACAGGAGAGAGAATCCAGCTAGCAAGGAAACATCAAGTGGCCAGTGCCACAACTGTGCTGTAAGATAAAACACTAAAACTGGCCCAGGTAAGTGATAAAACTGGCCTCACCTTTCCCCCCCCCACCTGTTTAAGGTTTTCGGTTCTTTTCAAGCCTTCCAAATGTGGCCCACCACGTTGGCCCACATGATATATGTGGGTTATGTACATAGTTCTGCATTTGTTTATTTATTTTTGTCCTATTTATGTAGTGTATATCGGAGGTGGTGATTCTTTGAGAGCTGAAGGCAATGAAACTTCATTTTAATGTAAGCCAATTAGTGTAAATTTAAAGTGACAGTAAAATTATTATTATTATTATAGTGATAGTTACAAAGTTATAGTTATTATTCTATTCTATCCCATTCTATTCTGTTCTCTATATTCTATTCTATTCCATTCCACTCCATTCTATTTTCTATTCAAATTTTATTCTATATTCCATTCTATTCTAGTCTATTCTATGCCATGCCATGCCATGCCATGCCATATTTTCTATTCTATTCCATTCCATTCCATTCCATTTTCTATTCAAATTTTATTCTATATTCTACACTGTTCCATTCCATTCTGTTCCATTCCATTCAATTCTAGATGAAATATCTACAAATCTAAACTTCATTTCCACTTTTTGACCAGCTTTCTGAAGAAATATCAAGAGGATGTCTAACTGAATAGGCAATAGCATCACTTGGCTAATTGTTTTTTTTCCTTTCTCCCCCCCAGAAGTGACATATTTCCAAATGCATAACAATGGCAGAAATAAAGCTGTTTGCTAGGCAAGCTGAGATGAGCACCTGAGTAACTGCAAAAGCAAAGCAAACGGCCTTGGAAATTATGACATTTAAGAACCCCTGAAGGAAAAAAACAAAAAAGAGATTGTTGCAAAGCAGAGTGGGTGCACCAATAAAAAAAGAGGCATAAATTGGTTAAGAAGGCCATCTTCCTTTTAAACACAATTTATGCTCCCATTAAAGGCTTTGCTTTCTTATGCTGTAAAACAGAAATTAGAGTCTTCATCCGGATAAATTTTCATCCTGAGATTTGAGAAGAAAACCCAAAATAACACTCCCTGAGGGGAAGGGGAAGCAAATTCTCCCTGTATTATACCCCTGCCCCCAAAATGTTTCCATGCTAATACTCTACTAGGATTGAAGCAAAATTATTATTATTAATAATAATAATGACTAGATAGGTAGATAAAATGCCAAATCCAGTCTGAACATCTGGCTGACTGTGCAATGATCCATAATAATAATAATGTTGGAAGGGATCTTGGAGGTCATCTAGTCCAACCCCCTGCTCAGGCAGGAAACCCTATACCATTTCGGACAAATGGCTGTCCAGTCTCTTCTTAAAGACTTAGTCATGACTTTGTTTGGCTGTTGGCAATTAACAGAAAGTCATTGTTAAAAGAGTAGTTTTTGGATTCTCTGATAGTTGTGCTGTCCGTTTTTGCCCAAGCTAATAGTACAATTTCTTTCAAGAGATTAGTTGGATACAAATCTGTTTTCAAATGAATGGAATGGAAATATAAATAGAAATAGAAATAGAAATAGAAATAGAAATAGAATAGAATAGAATAGAATAGAATAGAATAGAATAGAATAGAATAGAATAGAATAGAATAGAATTTAGAGAATAGAATATAGAGAATAGAATATATAGAATAGAATTTAGAGAATAGAACAGAATATATAGAATAGAATAGAATAGAATAGAATAGAATAGAATGGAATGGAATGGAATGGAATGGAATGGAATGGAATAGAATAGAATAGAATAGAATAGAATAGAATAGAATAGAATAGAATTTAGAGAATAGAATATAGAGAATAGAATATATAGAATAGAATTTAGAGAATAGAACAGAATATATAGAATAGAATAGAATAGAATAGAATAGAATAGAATAGAATAGAATAGAATTTAGAGAATAGAATTTAGAGAATAGAACAGAATATATAGAATAGAATAGAATAGAATAG